AACTCTGTATTCTATGTCATATTCTATGTCGTATCATCTGGGTTGGTGGAAGTTCAATGGGTGCTAGAACATTTTTCAAATACTATACAACAATGTCCAGTGGTGTTCATAAATATTTACTGGAAGATTGTTCATCCAACAGAGCATTAACATACAAAACAAATTAAGCACTCGATTAAACACTTTTCCAACCAGACAATTTATAGTTAACCAACTAAAAATATCCACAACAGCAAATTTCTGATTTCGAAATTGTCTAAAATCCTAATGTTTACGACTGACTGTCTGAAGCCTTGATAATGTCATTGAAAGCTTTTTTATATGGGCACCTATAATATTTCAGAACATATCAACTCTAAGGTTCTGCCAATAATAATACTCGATTTTGTCGTATTAAGTTTATTGAATAGTCTAAGGACATTTAGCTCTTGAACGGCTAAAAAGGCTCGATTGGCTTTTGCCAACCTGCGTCACTTATGGCGTAGGCGAGATATCCGTTTGCTGACGAAAGGACGAGTGTACTGCGCAGTAGTTCGCTCCGTCTTACTTTATGGGTGTGAAACATGGCCAGTGAGAGTAGAAGATATTCGTAGGTTACTGGTTTTCGATCATAGGTTTCTTCGAAGCACTGCTCGTATATCGTGGGACACCCGAATGAGCAACGCTGTTATTAGGAATCGGGTGCTAGGTAAGAATGGCAGATCAATAGATGAAGTGCTGAAACTTCATCAGTTGAGGTGGTTGGGACATGTGTTGCGTATGCCTAACCACCGACTGCCTCGTCGAGCTTTGTTTTGTAGTGTAGGAGTAGGTTGGAAGAAAGTTAGGGGTGGCCAAACCAAAACATGGCAGAAGTCCATGAAATCATTGACGAATGGACTTAGCCATGTCGGTAATTGTCGACTACCTTGTTGGGGTCCGCGAGATGATAATAATCGATGGTTAGAGACCTTGAATGACATGGCTCAAAATCGTTCGCAGTGGCGCCGGTGCATTTATTCTTTGTGTTCTCTCAAATCCTAATCTTATGGATTCTTCAACCCCTCTAGTTTTGACTTTCTAAACTTTTCTCACTGAATCATACTTCTTGAATAATATCTTCTAATCCTAACCTCTCCGATTACTTCTAATACCCTTACTAACTCTTCTACTATTGGATTTGAATTGACAATTACATCTCTGTGCTGATGTGGTATGGCGACATGAACTGATGTACTTACGTACGAAGTTCTACGTCGCAACTGACTGACTGACTTCAGCAGCTACAGTAACCAGAGTTGAATAGTATGATTTGCTTGTCTCTGTACAGCTATAGGACCAATTAGCGATTAGTTTTCGTATGTACGACATGTGCTTAACACATAAAATTCTAAGTACTGCTGCAAGACTGATAGGAACCACCGGTGCCTGATTCACTCTTTGCGGTGATCCTTTACAACCATCCTGTTTGTAAACAACTGTCGACACATACTCTCATTGATTCCTTCGAACTTCTCCCAACCTTGGAACACTTGAATATTTCTAATAGTCGGATGTGTTCTTTCGATGTAAACTCTTTATTCACAAATGTACCTCTCGAAGAAACTGTAGAATTTATTTGTGATTTCATAAATTCACACAACATAAGAATACCCATTCCTACTACCTGTCTTCGAGATCTAATTTTGCTGTGCACAAAGAATATAAAATTCTATTTCCAAGGTAAAGCATATATGCAAATCGATGGAGTGGCTATGGCAAGCTCTCTCAGACCTTTTCAGCAAACATATTCATGGGAATGATAGAAAGGCAAGTGAGCCACTTCATCGATGGTATTACACTTTACAAACGATATGTCGAGGATATTCTACAGATATTAATGAAGTAAATGATTTATTTAATGCGATTCACCTGAATCTGAAAGTCACTTATGAGGAAGAAAAGAATACTGAACTAGCTTTCCTCGGTATCCTACTCCATCGCCGTCCAGACGGATCAATCAGACGAAAAGTACACCGCAAACTCACCTGGTCGGGACAGTACCTCCACTTCACTAGTTTCTGCCCCATACAATGTAAACGCTCTGTTGTCAAAACTTTATTCGCTCGAGCAAGTAGACTCTGCACTGTTGATACATTGGACGACGAATTCAAGCTTATTACTGAGACTCTTAAATTAAACGGATATCCCGAAACGTCATCCGAACACAACTACGACGAAGCTGATAACAACTGATGTGCCCAAGAAACCAGTGTACCTACAATTACCTTTCAAGGGTGATCATTGCATGAAAATTACAACCAAACAGACTGCAGCTGCAATAAAAAAGACCTTCAATGCAGCTAATCTGAGGCTTATCACAACAACCCAATCGATCTCAGTTACCCCAATCAAGTCTCCAAGACCGATTCAGTCCAAATCCCACTTTATTTACCAATTCACATGTAACTGTGGAGAAAGTTACTTGGGTAGGACAGATCGCCGATTGGAGGACAGGATAGGGGAACATATTCCAAAATGGCTAATCAAATCCATGATTCATCCACCTAGCCCGTCATCTCAAGATCGATCAAGAAACCCAGCCTCGTCCATTGCAAAACATCTAAAGATGAGTGGTCATCAAACTGACCCAAAATCAGCCTTTAGAGTTGTGACATGTCATCAAAACCCACACACTGAAACTACTCGAAGCCATCTTGATTGGTCGGAAAAGTGCAACTTTATGTGTTCAAAAACAACTGTATGTTGACCTTTGTTTACCATGGTTCTAGTGACTGAATGTCATGCTAAATAAGAAATTTTGACCTTATCTTCAAAATTGTATTTACACAAATAACATGTTGCTAGTATGTGACTGACGAGAAAGCACGAAATGGTACTTACTATCTCACAAAATGTCTTCTCATTTCTCTGTTCACCTTTAAAATGTCTTGAAAATCCTCATATCTTACTATTTATGTAAGAAGTGGTTTGATAGATGCAACCTATCTGTGTATATTTGAACCCAGAACAGCTTATTGCAATTGAGACTATTATTTGCACCGTCGTGTTGTTAGTTTGGCTGTGAAAATTTGGGTTTAAAACTCATCGGCAAAGACACTTCCACCCTATGCTTGTCAGACTTTGCCCCTTCAATCTGAAGATACTCGCTGATTTCTTTTGGTTGGTCATCGTTGTCATTCAAAGATTACTCACACATGATAACAACACTGTGTTAGTCATGCTGAAGTTTTTGCGATGTGTTCGAACTTGGTAACAATAACCCAAGTAATGTCACCATTTTTCAACACCGACTTTGGTGACCTAGTTTTACAAGCATTTTCTCATAAACTTCCTCATCATGAAAAAGCCAAGAGGCGATCAGTTTATGACAGTATGAAAGAATAGCTGTATAAAGCTGTCAATTTTTGATCTATTTTGACTCATTGACCACTGTCGTATTAGTGTGAGACGTATTTAGGTACGCTTCAGAATAAGAACTGGCGACGATCTTTCTGTAGCCTTCTATTCAACTACTCATAAAATTGAGATAAACATTTCAACTGGAAAAAGTTTTTTATTGACTGTACTTTCAACTAAACAGTAGACAGACAGATACAACACAGAACTTCGTACGTAAGTACAGCAGTTCAGGTTGCCATGCCCCATCAGCACAGGGACGCACCTGTCAGTTCAAATCCAAGAGTGATAGTGACAGTGGAAATATTAGCAGTAATGGAGAAGATTACGGAGCGAAGATATGATTCGAGAAGTATAATCCAGTCAAATAAATTTAGAAGGAGAAAGATAGAGATTATGAGGAATTGAGAAGGTTGGAATTAGCGAGAACACAAAAAGTGGATGCATCTGCGCCATTGCAAACGATTCTGAGCCATGTCGTTCAAGGTCTCTAACCATCGATTACTATCACTCGCGGGCCCCAACCAGGTAGTCGACACCTACCAACATGACTCAATCCAGTTGTCAGTGACTTCATGGATTTGTGCCATGTTTTGGTCTGGACGCTCCTAGCTTTCTTCCAACCTACTCCTACACCACAAAACATAGCTCGACGAGGCAGTCGGTGGTTAGGCATATGTAACACATGTCCCAACTACCGTATTTTTCTATCAAATACAGTTTCTTTTCGTTATTTACTGAATGTATTATCTTCCCCCCTTATTTATTCACATTTTTATGACTAGTTCCTTGTGGTGTTTTAAATCCCGTATAATACCAAAAAATTAATGTTTAAATCAATAAGTAAACTAATAAGTTTGAAATTCATCTCCATCTAATCATTAGTGTAGAACCATCTCAAGGCGATTCTTAGGTAACGCTTGGTTCTCTTCATCTTACTGTTACGAATGTCCATCCACCGACTGTCTCGTCAAGCTATGTTTCGTGGTGTAGGAGTAGGTTGGAAGAAAGCTAGGAGCGTCCAGACCAAAACATGGCACAAATCCATGAAGTCACTGACAACTGAATTGAGTCATGTTGGTAGGTGTCGACTACCTGGTTGGGGCCCGCGAGTGATAGTAATCGATGGTTGTAGACCCTGAATGACATTTCTTAAAACCCTTTTGCAATGGTGCAAGTACCTTCATTCTTTGTGTTCTGTCAAATCCTAACCTTTTGAATTCCTCATCACTTTATCTTTTTATTTTTAAGTTTAGTTCACTAGATCCTACTTCTTAAATAATATCGTCAAACTCAAATCTCTCTGATTGCAGCTAATACTTCTACTACCTCTACTACTATGGGATTTGAAGTAACGATTGCGTCATAGGGCTATGGCACAAGTGTAATTGGTTCTTTATATCAAGACGTTTTTTCATCCTCACTTAATAATCCATATTTCTGGCTCATTCCCTCTGTCTTACGGAATAAAGTTTCAAATTTCTCTTTTAAATCATCGTTATCTGTGCTTTAGTGTACTGAGTTAAGACAATATATTTTAACATGTTGTAATCATTTATAGTAGTTTATTTTTGAAAATTGCTCTCCTCCTAAAAAATAAAAATCTATTTTCTCCATTTCAGATGTGTTCAGCAGTTGATCGTACATCTGATTTTATACGTTCCGTTCAACTTAATCGATCGAAATTAAATGACTTAAAACGTCAAGATGATTCATCATCCAATTCAGTTGGAAATCAATTTACAGATCATACATCTTTGGGGCTATCTAAAGCTAACTCCAATGACCTAGTAAATGAAAATACTATTCCCAGTAAATCTAATATTCCAAATGGATTGATAAAAAGTCAAGATTATTCATCGGATAAGAAATCTTCTGTTCTTCTTAGTCAACGATCACAATTTATGAAAGCAGCATCAATGATTAGTCAAGATTTGACGAATACATTTTCTAAATTGGAACAATTAAATGCATTAGCTCGTAAACAAACATTATTCGATGATCATAGTGCAGAAATGCAACATTTAACTTATGTTATCAAAGAGTCTATAGCAAATTTGAATAATCGAATTGCTAATTTACAAGAAATTTCTAAATCTCAAGTGAGTAGTGGTTAAACTATGTGTATTTTTTTATGACAAAATCTCTCTCTCTTTCTTCATGAATTAGTTTATATAGACAGACGTATGTTGGTTTTGTTGTTCATAACATCAATATTCACGAGCCAATTCTGCTTGCCAGATACCAGCTCTATACAGCTTTCTTTTATATCTCGACATCATGTCATACACTGATCACCTCTGTAATTATTCGAACAAGTCCCAGCCTTGGTGTGCATCTGACTGGATCAAAATCCGTAGTACATGTATAAGCCGCTGGAGTCCGCGTTTCGAGATTGTGACACCAATCGAATTATTATCATTGTGCCCGAACACACGTTGCCGAACCTCTGCGTTACTAACATGTTGTTGCCACTGAATGTTAGCAATCCTTCGGAGACGATGATTATCAAGCACACAGAGTAGTTGCTTAACATCCTCAACTCGAAAAGACCAGGTTTCACAAGCATGGAGTAAAATCGCTCTCACCAACTCATTGTAGAGCCAATCTTTTACAGCCAGTCTAACATCACAAAGGCGCCTAAGATGGTCCAGATTGGCATAAGCCGCTCTAACTTTCATCATAAGTGAGTTGGTTTCATTACTCACGCTACCACCAGCACTTACATAGCTGCCCAGATACATGAACCCTTCGACTACTTCTGTTTGATCAGTAACAAGAGTGAGTGAAGGTTTAGGGTCCTGCAGGTCTTGTAAAAGTATTCTACAATTAGATGGTCCAGAGCGCATGCCCTACCTAAGGACACTAGTTGACAATGGACTAACCGCGGATTGCATCGCTTGGGTATTATCGCAAAGTAAGGAAATATCATCCGCATACTAAAGGCCGATAAGTCTTTCTCCTGGTAACAGATTCACACCATTCTATAAATCCATCAGAGCTATTTCCAGAACGTTGTTGATGGCAAAATTGAAGAAGACTTCTTAGATTGGGCAACCCCCGCCTAACCGCCCAGGGGTTTGGATATAGAGCCTGTCCTCTCCAGCGAATCGACGGCAGTCCTGATGCCAAGAAACGCAACGATTGTTGACCTGCGACATGTGGCGATGTTCTAACATTTTGCAGAGGGCGAACATATGATCACCAGACCAACCAAAATGTCCCTTGAGAAACTCTGTATATCGTTTTAGACGCCGGTAGATGTTATTGATTGATGTCCCCTCAGCTTCACAGATTGTTTCACTTACACCAGACTTCTTGCTACTGGTGGCCCAGATAAGTTGAAAGAGCTTCCGATCGTTACTAGATGCAGCTGCTTTTCTTAACTCGTTAGCATGCTCCCGTCTTCATGTTTCTCGGTCCTTATGCAAACTTTATACCACTTGATTACGTAACGATTTTATTTTATCGTGCAACTTGTAATTACTCGGAGTAGACCAACGTGTCTCAGCGAGTTTTAATGAGTCTGTATGAACCTAGTACCTATAAGCGGGATGTTTCGCAAGGCTTCAAGAGACTACCCGCCATTTTCATAACGTCGTGCAATTGCAGCCGGTGCTCATCTTTCCTTTACGGTGGGTTGCTAACTAGCCTTGAACCTAGAGTTGGTTTTGAAGTTTAATTACAACATAAGTTACAACCAATTTATTGATATCAATAAGTTTACGTAGATGAGTCCGTTGACCACTGAAACGTAAGATAAGATTAATGCAAACAAGGACATGATTAGAATTCAGGTAAGTAATCCAAAAGGACCTGCAGTCTTGTATACAACTACACCTAAGTTACCAGATTGCGATGTGATTAATCTGAGTCCAGTCTTGAGATCCGGAGGAAAGACGTTAGGCAGCACTTTTGTGATAACCGTACCGATAGTCAGTAGTGGGACACTATGTAACCGTAATTAGAAGGTTAAGAAAAATCAGACATTCACGTTAGTTGCAAACTTGAAACTCAAAAACAGTTTATGCGTACACAATCACTCTACGTAATGATTGTGATAAACGATAACTTTTGACCTCGAATGTACTAAAGATGTTAACACTTTCAGTTGTTTTGATCAATCAAGGAGATGAGTCACCGACTCTTGTGAGCATAAAAATCAGATATACGAATAATATACTACTAATATTCTCGAATATTCTCATAATATACTCACGATCATCATTCATTATCTACTTTAATGCTTCATCCTATGGTTCGCTCATTTTATTTAATCACGTAGTTGTCCATCCAAGATTTCTAGCAGTTTATTTCAAAGTGTATTACTAATAAAAAATGTATTATAATTCATCTAGGTAATTTTGTGACTCTCTATAAATTAATAGTTTCAGTTAGAAGTTTTTTTGATACCCCTTGTTGTTCCCTTAATCGCTCATCAATGATCACATGACCAAACAAAACACTTGTCAGAATAAGATTCCGCGCTAATGACCTCTAGTCAACAGCTAAGTTCCGACTGGTCCGAAATTCCCTCCCTCCTCTACCTGTTGAATCCATAATCTTCTCCATTATTGCTAATACTTCTGCTATCTTTACAACTATGGGATTAGAATTGAAAATTACATCTCTCTACGTTGTAACTGACTGTCTGACTGTGTCTATGTGGTATGGCAACTTGGGCTGATGTATGTACGTATGAATTTTCTACATTGTAGCTGACTGACTTTCACCTAATACAGCCATATACGTCATCTAAGGAGTTTTACATGCACACTAAAGTCTCATTTTACATGAAAACTGTTTTAATATTCTAATTTCATGCCATTGAAGTTTCTTTTCATTGACCAAATCTTACTACTTTTTTTTTTATTTTACTATTGTCATAGTTATCTAATGGGAAACAACAATCTACACATTCTCGTTCTGTATTGATGGTTTTACAAACACATCTTGCTAAAATGTCCAATCAATTTCGAGGAGTACTTGAGTATCGTTCAGAAAATCTAAAAGTACAAAATGCACGTAAAAGTAAATATAGTTCATTGAATGATATGTATAAATCATCGGAAACACTATCATCATCATCGACATCTGGAAAGCCTCCTCTGCCACATGTTGTTATTCCGTCAGTTTTGTTAAAAGTAAGCCCCATTTTTGTCTTTCAAAATTCAAATTATCATATATCAATTGTTACTGTTCATCTTTTGATTGTTTTTTCTCCTAATGTTCAATACATATATTGAACATTGTTGTTGAGGATGTTAGATCCCTAGAAATCACTTGATCAATGTCTTTACTTTGGATTTTATTCATGGGCTGACCAGTTGACCTTGAGATCACATTTCCCACCAGCAAAATCCTTGGCTATGATTGGTTACTGTGTTATTTTAGTTTGCTATTTTTGTGACTTTCTCAATGACGTTTCTATGATGTATAAATAAACGTTATTTGTGTGCTGGCTAGGTGTGTGTAGAATACACTTTCTACGCTATATCAAGACTTTTTCGTTAATCGTTTTGGGTCAACAGATCAGAGTAGCCTACCCGGACACTGGTTCATTGTCTCGTTCTCGTTTATCGACTAAAGTGAACTCGAAATAGCATTCAAGCATATCAACTGACGAGCATAACAACTGTACACATTTGATCTGTTCATAATCTAAACAAGAATTGAAAGCAACTAATGGATTATTATCCAATCAAATTGTACAACTGTTAGTGGGACATAGATGGATTAAAGCATGACTGCGTTTGCTGCGCTCTGATTGGCTAATTTCCTATCCAATCAGCGCCTGATCGATTCTTGGAGAACAGGGTAGAAAATTCTCGTGTTGTTAGCTGCACGTTGATTGGCTAAATCTAATCCACTTGATCACGTGAATCACTATCCAGAAGCTTCTCATGTAAATACTATAAAGAAACTAACGTTGAATCTATTTCGCCTTCGGCTTCTTATTTCCATTTAACCTTGCTATTTGGAATATAATCTTTTACTGTTCCACCGTGTTCTTGATTCTTTGGAACTTTTCCAGTGTGTTGTGGTCAGAGAATAAATACTAAGCAATAAGAATTAGCTGGAAATTATTCAAGCCAACGTTACAAGAACAACAAAAATCCCAGAGTTGGAATTTCTATAAAAAAATTATCTTCTAGTATCTCTTCTTTTTATTTTGTCCATTCGTGTTGATTGATAGAAAATGGATTAATCAGTGCATTTGCATTTTATCCTGGCTAAAATCATGTACTAGTCAAACGGACACTATCTTGTTAACAAAGAAAGAGATTCGTCAGTAGTGATTATCTGTGACCCTTCATTCGGGAACCAAATCTCTAGGGCATTAAGTCTCTGGCATGTGAACACTTAATACCTAGACCAGTGAGCTGTGGTATCCAACAGTGTTCATGTCTAACTTCAATCAATTCACGATATTAGCCAACTCTCTTTCATTCTATGCAGTTGATATCTCTCACACGATATTAGATTGAATCCCACGGGTTCACGTCTACTCACTAGGACTGTAGGGGTTTCATCTTGGAGTTCAGTCAGTCAGTCAGTCAGGTGCAACGTAGAACTTTGTACGTAAGTACATCAGTTCATGTTGCCATACCACATCAGCACAGAGATATAATTGTCAATTCAAATCCAATAGTAGTAGAGGTAGTAAGGGAATTAGAAGTAATCGGAGAGGTTAGGGTTAGAAGATACTATTCAAGAAGTATGATTTAATGAGAAAAGTTTAGAAAGTCGAAACTAGAGGTGTTGAAGAATCCAGAAGGTTAGGGTTTGAGAGAACACAAAGAATAAATGCACCGGCGCCATTGCGAACGATTTTGAGCCATGTCATTCAAGGTCTCTAACCATCGATTATTATCATCTCGCATCTTGGAGTTAATGATTAGTGCTCACATTATCATTATTAGCATAGGGGCATTTGTAGATATTATAGATGTTATGCTCGTTAATTGATATGCTTGAAATTATTACGAGTTCACCTTAGTTGGTAAACGAGAGCGAAGACAAATAATCTGATGACACGATAGGCTACTCTAATCTGAGCGTCCCAAGTCCCCCACTAAGTAGAGGAAGAAGTCTTGATATGATGTAGAGAGTTTATTCTATAAGCACCCAAAAAATATGAGGTTAACAAGCACACAAATCGAGTTTATTTATACATGAGAGAAACGTCCTTGGAAGAGCCACAAAAATAGCGTACCAAAATAACACATCAAGGATTTTCGCAGTGGAAAATGTAATCTCAAGCTCAAGTGATCAGCCCATGCGCGAAAGCATAAAATCCAAAATTAGGACCTTTATCAAGTGAGTTCTAGGGGATCTAACGTCTCCAACAATAAGAGCTTCAATTCCTTGTATGATCACCTGACTGCTGGTTATGATGTGCAATATCTTGGATGTGATCGCGAAATGTGCTAACAGCCCCCCCCCCCGAACTGGCTAAAGTTAATAGTAAATGAGAAAGTCTATTTGGCTGCCGAATAATATGTACAAATACTTGTGTATATATATGATCTATCTCCGTAGAGTTTAGATCCAGTTCTTGACCAATGATCTGTATTCGTTCTTTAGAATGCTTTGTCAGTTATCAAATGACCTTCTCATTTGGCCACATCCAATTGGTTCACTATATCAGTGGCAGTCCTTTAAAATCCTTTCCTTCTACTTTTCTTTTTCCCCACTCAAGGATGATGAACGTGCCAGAGAAGCTTTACTTAGTGAAAAACAAGGAAATGATGGATTGGATGGTTTAGGCAGTTTAGGCTCATCTTCTATCCCGATGAATTCAAATTTAGGACTTGCTCAAAAATATATCAATCCTGATCAAACTGATTCGTATTTATTATCTCGATCAGAAACAATGCAAAGTATTGAACATACAGTGATTGAATTAGGACAGATTTTCCAACAATTAGCTACTATGGTTAGTTGAATAATGATCATTGGTGTTTTTTTACTATTTATCAGTGATATGTTCATTTTATGTGATTATACTACTACTTGAATTGGGTGTGTAAAAGCTTATTCACGTTAACTTAAATATCTTTTGTAGATTTTTATAATTTAATTAACATCGTTTGAGAAAGGCTATTGTTGTGATTGATAAGTGCACTAGCTAAAATGCTACAGAATGACAACAAATTATACAAAGCTGATGATGAATTTTTTAGATTTTATGTTTGTCGAAACAATATAAAAAAAATTATGAATACATGGATAATATGTACGAGTTAAATAAAAACAGTTGTCTGTGCAAATTACTTCGAATCCACTAGCCAAACACTATCAGCAACTGTAGGAGAACTGTGGGAGAGAACAAATCAGATTCCAGTCGAGGGAGAAATTCGAAAAAAAACGCCGTAGGTGGATAAAACACACTTTACGGAAAGCAATCAACCCCGTCACAAGACAAACCCTCAGTTGGAATCTTCGAGGCTAAAGGAGAAGAGGAACACCAAAATACGCATTGAGCCGAGAATTAGAAGCAGACATGCAAAGAATGAACAGCGATTGGGTAGAACTGGAAAGGAAGGCCGTGGATAGAGTAGACTGGAGAGTGCTGATCGGCGGCGGCCTATGCTTCATTAGGGATAACAGGCGTAAGAAAGTAAGCAATATAAAAACAGTGAATATGCAATCAAGTTACTTTCATCATGGGTTGTTATCAGTCGGGGTAATACTAAAAAACTAGGGCTACCAAGTAGTAAACCACTGTTTTATCCTAATGTGGAAGATTATACCAGTCCGTAATCACTATTTAACTAGACGTCAAACTTCAAGACCTTCAGGTTTTATTAAACTTCTATATTTCAGAAGTCACACGTTCGTGCTTAAGATCGAACTCGCTGGGTTCTTGTTAGGATATTCATCCAATATCCTAAAATAATTGTTTGTAACTCTGATTCTGTTGGTCGATTACTATTGGTCATCCTAACTGTCAATGTCACAGACTTCGATGTTGTCTCCTATTCGACCTAACTGTATAAATACGCATTATCTGTAACGTCTTATGACCGAACCCGGGTACCTAGGCCGGGGTCCTTATCCTCTTCTGGACTCGGACATCGTACTTTCTGGATGCTCGTAGAATACAGGTTTCACTTCATATCAAGTCTTCTTCTTTTACTCAATTGGGGTTTGGGACGTTCGGATTAGAGTAGCATGTCGTGTTTCCGGATCCTCGATCCTCGCTCTCGTTTTCCGACTAAGGTAAACTTCGTCATAGTTCAAGCATATCAAATGACGGACGTGTTTACGTGCATGCGTAACAGTTCCATTCCTGTAAGTGGTGGATGTCATAGTGGCGCACTGCTGATGAGTCGCATACTAGGACGAAACGGCCATCCAGTAAGTACTTTCAGGTTTCTTCTAGTAGATGATCTAACAATGATCAATTCATCATTTCCAAGTAATCCATAAATCCTTATTCAAAACAATTCACAATGGAACTTATTTCCCAGTAAAGCAGACAAGTGGAGGCATAGACAATCTTTCTAACTAATAATTTCATTTTTCTACTATAAACATATGGTCAATTGAACCTTGTTTTTTATGATTTATTACATTGTTGTTTATAGTACGTACGTACGTGTGTGTGTGTGTGTGTGTGTGTGAATGAAGGAGTAGGTGATAACATGAAAATTCAAGTGTATTCTTGTTAGTATTTTGGTGCATTGTGTTCTTGTTGTTTTGCTTGACATTATTTTGTTTGATTAATTGATTAATCGATAATATCGTGTAGAGTAAGTAAGTAAGTATAGCTACATTTGTTATAGCAATGTACTATTTTATATAAATGAATCAAATTATAAGTGGAAATTGTCATTTGATGGTAGGTAGGTAGGTAATTCAATCAGTCAATATGCTTTTCTTTAGACAATTATTGAAAATCATAAAACACTGGATATCTGTTTGATTTGGGCATAAAATTTCTTAGTTGAGATAATGTTTAGCCTTGTGTCCACTGGGAATGGAAGCCTAAAAATAGCGGGTCTTGAGGTGTTGTGAATTAATAATGATAATGTAATGTTAATCGAAACTTTCAAAATGAACAAAGTCTCCCTCATTCTGTAGTTTGTTTTGCTCATCAATTGATATGTTTGAATTTATTACGAATTCAAATTCGTTGGTAAACGAGAGCGAAGACAAGTGATCCAGTGACACGATAGGCTACTTACTCTAATCCGAGCGTCCCAAAGCCCCACCAACGCTGCTGTCAAAAAGTCTTGATATGGCGTAGAACGTGTGTATTCTACAAACACCAAGAAAATCGAGGTCTTTTACAGAAGAAGAAGAAGAAACGGAGCATGAGACTTTACAGACAATCCATATTTATACAGTTAGTTCGACCGTGAATACTAACCAATCGGAAAGAACATTTTAAAAGTATGTGAACTTGATGATAGTGTTTAGGACGACCTTCAATATTGACCTATAGAATTAGACTTATAAAATAATTTCTTTCGGATATTTAATGAATATTCTAACAGTGGTATTGTAGTGAATGAGAACACAGGTGAGGGCAACCGAATTGTATTTAACGAAAATTACAGAGTTACTCAGTAAAATAGGAAAACCATATCGTAAACGGTTAATTTGCAAATCTTCAATCCATCATATCGAACTGGACTGTTCCTGTTGCAAAACATCAATCCATTGTCACTATTCATGCGTTTCATACAAATTCCATTGTGTTCCCACTCTTTCTTTCTTGATCTTCTCCCATCTTCTGCTGCCAGACATTACGTTGACACTCACGTCATATACTACTTATAAGTAGCTCGCACCACAGTATAACATCATTTTACATTTTTTTTAAAAAAAAGAACAAGAAATTTCATTGTATCAGTTATGGTCAAGGTGTTTGAACGATTAAATCTTCTTAATATCTTCCCTATTATAATCGGAATAAGATTTTCCGCCTTTTTTACAAGTCAATAAGAAAATATATGTCTTAAAGAGAATCAGTCAGTCACCTACAACATAGAACTTCATATGTACCTGCATCAGTGTTCAAGTTGCCATACTACATTAGCACAGAGAGATGGAATTGTCAATTTGAATCCCATTGTAGTAGAAGTATTAGCGCTACTCAAAAATATTAATGATCCATGATATTTGTACTAATGCGCGTGACCACGTCATTTGATATGCATGAACTATTACGACTTTACCTTAGTCAGTAAACGAGAGCGAGGATCGATGATCCGGCGACACGATAGATTACTATTATCTGATTGTCCCAAACTGTCCATTGAGTAAAAGAAGAAGTCTTGATATGAAGTAGAACCTGTATTCTACAAGCATCCAAAAAGTACGAGGTATGAGTCCAGAATAGGCTGGATATGCATCATAAAACGTTACAGATAACGCGTATTTATACAGTTAGGTCGAATAGAAAACAACATTGAAGTATGTGACATTGACAACGACCAATAAGAAACAACATTCGAGGTATGTGATATTGGTAGTTAGGACGACCAATAGGAATTGACCAATCATTCTCTTAGGATATTGGATGAATATCCTAACAGATATCATTCAAGAAGTATATCCCAGAGGAAGAAAACTGTAATGAGGAATTCAGAAAATTAGAATTTGAGAGAAGACAAAGAATGGATGCACCTGCGCCATTGCAAACGATTTTTAGCGATGTCATTCAAAGTCTGTAACGATCGGTTACTATCATCTCGTGAACCCCAACTAGGTAGTCTACATCTACCAACATGACTCAATCCATTTGTCAGTAACTTCATAGATTTGTGTCATGCTTTAGTTTAGCCGCCACTAACTTTTATTCCAGTCCACTACTACTCAACAAGTATTGCTTGTCAAGGCAGTCGGTGGTTTGGCATACGTGCCTAAAGAGAGAAAAACTAACCAATCTTTAAATGATTAAATTTTAGAAATAAAATAGACTCCATCGTTAGTAAAAAAAATAGATAACTGTATCACAAGCAGAAATTAATACCAGCCAACCTGAATGATAATACTCTGGAAACTCTTAATCCAATCGACATTGTTCAGTTAAGAAGAAATTTTTAGGACGGTAGATTAGCTTTGGTCTTAGAGACCTGGGAGCGTGACCACAGAGTCGAAGGGACAGATGATTTAAGCCGGTCACGCACTGCCTTTTTATGGGTAGTATTTCAAGTGTTAGCTCCGCTCTTCTTTAAAAGGCCTTACCGCCGGAGACGGAAATCCGTGAGGTAGTGTGAGGTGTGACATTTTTAGGTTCGACCTTTTCCAGCCCTTCCTTCCTTGTTAGAAGGCAGCATCGCTGCAGATGCTGGTTGTCAGAGGTAAACACCTTATTGCTGTCACATCCCTCTGCAGCCAGCAGTACGACTTGGCCCTCAGACCTTGAGTAGTTGCTTTTAGTCTCATCGTTCTCCAATCGACCTGCCTAGTATGGTTATACCTACAGGAACATATGTTCCAGCCAATATAGCTCGGTTGGGTCATGACGATAGGCAAGCCCGACCACCACGTCAAGGTAGCAGCTACGGTCGGGAATTAAAAAGAATATACAATGATTTCATTGCTGGAAATTCTCTGTTTATTGAAGTGTTTGATCGATTAGTAAAAATAATGAGTTCATGTCGAATTATTGAACTATCAACCTGTTGATCATACTATGCTTAAAATCTGTTCTATGTTCAATATTCTAATGAGTGAGTTTTGTCGTATTTCATGTGGAAATGAACAGTAAAAAGATTCATCATAGCTACTTGAATCTGTTTCCCATTCATTTTTCTGTTATGTTACGTTAAATCTGCATTAATATGAATAACCATTGAAAGTAAGTTGTGATTAGCCAATGAACATAGAAAGACTTGTCTGCTGCGTGTTCTCAATTTTTTTTTTAAAACTTCACCCTAATATACTTTTAATTTGGTCATAATATGTGGGTTTTTTAATTGTTAATTAAGTGATTGAGTGCAAGCGTTTTAAGCGATTTAACACTCCGATGTTATGACACATCAGTAGTTTCAAAATATTACTATTAGGGTTTGTGACGATTGCTGTTGTATTTTAAATGGCTTATATCACGAACTGATCTTAGTTAAAAAATCATTAAAAACCAAGAGTCACTGGATATTAGCTTCGCCTTAATTTGGAGACTTCTTATCAGTGCTCAACATTTCACTCTCACACTGAGGGCTAACTTGCGTCACCTATGGCGCAGGCGAAATATCCGTCTGCCAACCAAAGGACGGGTATACTGCGCAGCAGTTCGCTCCGTTCTCCTATACGGATGCGAAACATGGCCGTTAAGAGTAGAGGACATTCGTAGGTTGCTTGTTTTCGATCATAGATTTTTAAGAGGCATTGCTCGTACATCGTGGGACAACCGAGTAAGCAATATTGTCGTTAGGAAACGAGTACTAGGTAAGGATGGCAGATCAATTAATGAAGTATTGAAACTTCATCAGTTGAGGTGGTTGGGACATATGTTACGTATGGCTAACCACCGACTGCCTGGTCGAGCTATGTTTTGTGGTATAGGAGTAGGTTGGAAGAAAGTTAGGGGCGGCCACACCAAAACATGACACAAATCCATGAAGTCACTGACTAGTCGACTGAGTCATGTTGGTAGATGTAGACTACCTTGTTTGCGCCTGCGAGATGATAGTAATCGATGGTTAGAGCCCTTGAACGACATAGCTGAAAATCGTTTGCAATGGCGCAAGTGCGTCCTTCTTTGTGCTCTCTCACAACATCCTAATCTTCTGGATTCGTCAGCACCTCTACCTTTGTCTTTCTAACCTTATCTCACTGAATTATACTTCTTGAATAATAATATCTTCAAACTCTAGTCTCTTCTTCATTACCATTAATACGCCTACTATCTTTATCACTATGGGATTTGATTTGACATTTGCTTCTCTGTGCTAATGTGGTATTGCAAAATGAACTTATGTACATACATACGAAGTTCTACGTTGCAACTGACTGACTGACTGACTAATGAATCTGGAAGCACTAGAGAACCAGTGAAGTTCAATCCTGTTCGGTTGTGAAGCGGTTCTCAGTAAAGACAGTGGGTGAGGTTGCGCACGGTGGTGAATTGATCGGAGTTAGTCATTAACACCATTGGATCCCGGCTCAGTGGTCTAAAGGTAAATCGTTCACGCACAAAACCTGGGTTCTACCCCGCGAGCGGGATTCATGGATGTGCACTGCTGACGGAGTTCCATACCAGTACGAAATCGCCGTCTAGTGCTTGCGGGTTTTTTCAATCGGTAGTCTAACATTGATCGATTCATGATTTCAAAGCCACTCAACAATCTTCACAACTCTACTATTATTTCTAACAAAAAAGATTAAAGACATTTTAAAGGTTCAATTTGTGATTTTCGTTCTTATCTACCACCATTCTCAACTAAACCTATACAAATCTCTCTCTCTGTGTGTGTTTGTTTGTAGGTTCATGAACAAGATGAATCCATTCGTCGTATCGATGCCAATGTAGACGAGGCTGCAATCTCAATTGAAGCTGGTCATTCAGAATTAATTCGATATTTTCGTTCAATTAGTTCAAGTCGATGGCTTATGATTAAAGTATTTTTTGTTTTAATTATATTTTTTATAATATTTGTTGTATTCTTTGCTTAATTACTTCCTTATTGTTACTTTTACATTTGTCTGTCTGTCTATCTCTCTCTGCGTATGTGTGTGTGTGAGACTGATCAGATGAATTTTCAAGTTATCATTAAGACATGAAGAAACAGAACGACGATACATAGAAATACTCTTTTTCTCTCTACTAAACTGTTACACAATGACCATTGGTCTGTTATTGTCTGTATGTTGTATGTAAACTTGATTGATTGTTTTATGATTAAAAAAATCTCTATTTTATATATACACACACACATATAAGTAAGTATACATAGAGTTTCATTTACATGTACACACTGTGTATTTGATTACACAATGAAAACGTTTTACCGGAATTCCAATATACATATATATATATATAGGTAATCGTTTTTTCCCCCCTCAAAAAATGCTTCCTTTCATTCACATTATTCATAAATGAACAAATGATCAACTAGTCTTTCATTTAATTTTATTCACTCTAATGTGATAATGAGTTGCTTTCACATGTTCTTTGATCAACTGTTGTAAAGCTGATCCATTGCAGACCATGAAACAAAGAGTAATCATTAAACATTTGTCTGTGTGTGTATGTGAGTGTGTGGGCACGTTTTCTCCGTCTTCTCCTTGATATTCCCTTTTCTATCTACACCATCAAGGTTGTTTTCATTCTATACTATGTATTGTGTTTCTTGTTCACGCACACACACACACACAAGCACACAGAAACTTTCTTTTACACCTTCAATCTACTTACAGCCTTATTATTGTGCTTTCCATAAAAATTATGTACAGTGTATAAATTCAATCTATTTACTGGTATATTCATCATTTGTCTGGTATTATTGTGCCGCCTTCGTCCTGGAACTATGATGAAACGTTGTCTAGCTTCAATAATTGACTACTATCTATGCTGTAATTTTTTATTCTATGTGTCTATGTATGTAAATGAAAGATAATTCGTCATAGTTAATTAGTCCAATCGATTTTCTCAAAAAAAATAGAGCGTACAAATGATTTTAATGTTTACTGTGCTTTCTTCTATTCTCACTCCTTATTCAATTAATATTAAATCTTTGTCTTTGTAATTTGGATATTTTTCATTTAAACCAATTGTTTTTGTTTGAAACAGAGAAAAAAAAGATTGTACTACTTTATTTCAATTTATTATAATTGTGTTTTGTTTTTTCCGAATGATATAAACTGAATTGGATCACATTGAAAAAAAAAATTCAGTGGGAAAAGGGAAGGAGGAGGATAAAATTTGTTTGTATGGAATTTAATTCTGAACATGTACACAATTTGAATATTGCAGACAATTTAATTCACGTTTTGACCTTCATCCATTTTGTTGTTGTTGCTTTTTCTTTTCATTTGACCAACCGAAATGCGCGACATGATGGCGGATTTGTGTTGTATGCCTAAACGTTGAGCAATATTAATCAATAATATCACGTGACATACACAAAATACCAATCAGAATTACGACTGAGCATATCGGGAGACCTTGAGTCATCTCTGTAAATGCTTATTGGTCCACAACTCGATAGCTTCAACTTCATTCATTTTGCTTCTTATATAGTCCAGAAGTCAAGTAGTCAGACTTCACAGAATTGTTTACATTTTCAAGCACGGATAGTTAACATATCGAACAGCGTAAAATGAGGAAATACATCTGTACATGTACAAACAGTTTGAGATAATTAAAATCAAGTTTCAAGTGTAGATACACTTTTATGTAAAATATTGACATGTTAAAGTGTAATGTGTTCTTTGGTCTTCCTCTACTCCTTTGACCTTGAAGATGATTCCGAGTGAGGGCTTGTCTTGTGATGTAGTTGGGTGCTTTCCTTACTGTATGTCCCATCCACCTCCAGCGATTTTTCCTAATTCTCTTGATCAATCAGAATCTGCTGTGTTCTTCTCCATAGTAGGTTGTTGCTGATGATATCTGGCTAACAGATCCTCATTATTGTGTAGGCAACCGTTAATAAACACCTGTATCTTGTGGATGATGACTTTTATAGTTCTCCAACTTTTCGCTCCATACAACTGAAGTGTTTTCATGTTTGATTGAAAACTGTCTATTAACAGTTTTTTGATTTCCAGATGCTCCCCAACTGTAGATATACTGCTCGTATTTTGTCAGTCCATGTCTTTATATCTACATCAGATCTCTTCTGTGTATCAATAATTGTGCCCAGATATGTAAAGTTTTGCACATCTTTTTGAGCTTCTCCATCAAATATGATTTGGTTGTTGAATCCCGACCGTTGAGGTGGTTGGGACATGTGTTACGTATGCCTAACCACCGACTGCCTCGACGAGCTATGTTTTACAGTGTAGGAGTAGGTTGGAAGAAAGCTAGGGGCGGTCAAACTAAAACATGGCACAAATCCATGAAGTCATTGACAAGTGGACTGAGTCATGTTAGTAGATGTAAGGTTGGGGTCCGCGAGACGAAAGTAATCGATCGTTAGAAACCTTGAACGGCATGGCTGAAAATCGTTTGCAATGACGCAAGTGCATCCATTCATTATGTTCTTTCAAATACCAACCTTCTGAATTCCTCACCTCTGTCTTTCTCTTCTTAAAGTTATCTCATTGAATTGTACTTCTCGAATCATATCTTGGAAGCCTAATCTTCTCCATTACTGCTAATACTTGTACTATCGCTACCACTCTGGGATTTGAACTGATGGTGTCATCTCTGTGCTAGTGTGGTATGGCAACATGAACTGATATACGTACGTACAAAGTTCTACGGTGTAACCGACTGACTGACTGGTCGTTAAATGCAGTATTGTATCGAAGGATCTTGCCTTTCCCATTGTGCATGTTGATATCTACTGGCTACACTGACCGTCCTCACCTGCATTTGTTGTAGTGAATTGGTCAATAGTATATAATTCTAAAATAACTACGTTAACCTAACTGAGAATTGTATCATAAAACCGATCCTTCTAATCATGACCGAAGGATAGAATCACTTATCGACCAGTTGAATGTTTCAGCCAGTTAGTTTATCTTGAACAACATAAAACCTACCTCTATGTATATCAGTTGCAATTGCCACACCATATATAAATAAATTGAATTAATCCAAATAGAGGAAATGTCAGTATCAATAGCAAGCACAAAATGTAGACAATATGATTTGAGAGGAAACATTAAATGAATAAATTCGTCAAATAAAATGTATAGATTTATTTGACAATTTAAGATTTAATGGTTACCAGTGTGTGGATAAATTTGTGCTGTTACAATTAAATCTGAAACTGTTAGTCATGGAAATCGTGCAAAACCTAATAGGTCTGTACATAATAATACAGCTCGATTGAACAGTCAGTAATTCAATGGATTGATAGGATGTCTGTAGTTTGGCTTACCCCGTGTTGAATGTGTATTGAGGAATTAAAGCTTATATATATATATATATATATATATATATATATATATATATATATATATATATATATATATATAAGCGAACAATATTGTTGTTTTCGAATAGATCGTCATCAGGCTTTATATACTAATATACATGGATATATTTATGTATGAAAATGTTAAACGAATCAAGGCAATTTATGAGTCATAATCACAATGAAATGAAAGAGATTACGTCACTACACATAATAGGAAGACAGCTGTACTGATAGTAGTAAGAAAATCATAAAATACCATAGTAGTAGGTCAAACATGAATAAAAAGACTTAAAATAATAATCATTACAAAACCATGAAACCATTACGTAATAAGAAATATGCACATTAGATAGTGAAGAATATCAACGGGTAGAGGCAGAGAATTACTAACAAATACAAGATGTGAAAAATAACAAAAAATTTAAACCAAAAAAAAATTAAATCTTAAATCGTTAGTTACGTCATATCCGGCCACGGAAGAGATAGAGGTGTCACGAATTTCTTCTGAACACATAAATTGGGGTTGAATGTACGAATTCCTATGGCTTCTGCTATGTGTAGGAGACGGGATCAAACTCCGTTGGGAAATGATGGAGGTATACGATAGATCACCCGAAAAGATCTAGATTTATCTACAATATGACCACTATCAACCAGGTGTGTTAAGAAAGTACTGCGTATTGTTTTTGACTGATCGTTCTTAAACCATGCTGTAAGATGTTCACTCATTCGTTGGTTAAGTTACCTGGAAGTACGCCCCGGAGCAGCTGAATTTGTAAATGTACGTATATTCAATATTTGGCATAAAGTTTAAGAAATACATTTAAACACACTCAGAGTTACTCAGTAAAATAGGAAAACCATATCGTAAATCGTTAATTTGCAAAATATCAGTTCATCATATCGAACTGGACTGTTCCTGTTGCAAAACATCAATCCATTGTCACTACTATTCATGCGTTTCATACAAATTCCATTGTGTTCTAACTCTTCCTTTCTTGATCTCTCCAGATCTTCCGCTGCCAGACATTACGTTGACACTCACGTCGTATACTACTTATAAGTAGCTCACACCACAATGTGCTTTCTGTATGAAACAAACAATTTAATGTCACAATACAAGAATTCTTTGGTCAGAAGATTAATATTTCGTGGACATTTATCAGTTTTTATGGCTCAGGATCGGACTCCAATTTGTCGGAACATTTAAATATGCTATGGAATAAGTCCTCTATTTGATGCTCAAATATATTTTTAGATGAATCCCGTTGATGCGACGTCAAAGCCTAATAAGGTTTTGTGGATAAATTTACTTAGCACATTGCTGGTGACGTTAGATCCCCAAAACTCACTTGAAAAATGGCCTAACTTTGGATTTTGTGTTTTCGCGCATGGGTTGATCAGTTGACATTGAGATTACATTTCCCACTCAGGAAATCCTTGACTGTCATTGGTTGAGTTATTATTTTAGTACACTATTTTTGTGGCTCTCTCAAAATCGTTTCTATCATGTATAAATAAACTCGATTTGTGTACTTGTCAACCTCGAATTACCTGGGTGCTTGTAGAATACACTTTCTATGTCTAACAATACTTCTTGCTATAGTTGGCAGGGCCGTGGGCAACGGATTATAATAGCCTATCGTGTCACTGTATCATTGCTTCGCTCTCGTTTATGGAGTAAGGTGAACTCATATTGGTTTCAAGCATATCACATATTCATTTGAATAGCAGCTAGACAATAGAATGCGAAGTGAAGCAAAGAAGGCAAGTGAACTAACTCGTTGTGTTTAGACGTGACTAAGCATTTATAGTCAGACAAAAATAAGCTAAATATGTGATCGTGCAGTAAGCAATGCACATGTGCACTTAAATAAAAACAATCAGGTTACAAACAAATCATTGACAAGGTTGAAAGACGTGTGAATAATAACTCGATAAGTGTGGATTAATTCATTTGTCCAAAGGCTGGGACAAGCCATGTGGACTCAAAATATTAGTACACTCACTACACGGTGTATAACACTTTACGGTCATCAATAATTACTTACTGTTTTGTATGAATTTACCTTTTCTCTCTCAAGTAATTGACTGATTAAATAAAATAATTGTACGAATGGACTTTTGCATACATTTGGTCGCGTTTAACAATTTTAAAAAAGGTTTCAATTATTGAATAAATTACTTGATTCAGTCTAATCTTATATTCATTGATTCTGAATATGAACTAGGCCTTTTACTATTAATTGTATCTTGTGAAGTTAGTTTAATGCTTTACTGACAAAGATCATCATGATAGGCTAAGGAGAATCGGACTAGTGACATGATATCTTGAATCTTCGTGGTAAGTAAATTAGGGGATCGTTTACTATTCAGATATCCATCTTGTATTAATCAGTATACTAATAAATGTCAGTATGGGCTTGTTGAGATTGTTGCATTTCATCAAAAATCTTGGAGTGAGCTATGTTAAACAACCATAGGAAATCTGGAAGCATTGGACGGCTCTTTCGTCCTATTATGAGACTCGTCAGCAGTGCGCAACCACTACCACATAAGTGGGAATGCAAACCAGGAATTTCCGTCTTGCGCGCGAATGCTCATCCTGAAAATAATCATATGTTCACTAGTGACTAGCTTCGTCAATGTATTCTCAGAGTTCTAGTAGTTTTGCGTGCTGGACATGTGGCAGTTACCAACCGAATACAATAGATGATAGTCCCGCAATATGGTGGACTGATTAAAGTTGAATACGCGTAAAACCGCAGGTTAGTGGTTCGATTTCTTCCTGCAATGTTGTGGGTGCTCACTTCAGATGAGCCTCATACTAGACAAAACTTCCATTCAGTTTCCCCATATTTTAAATGGTAACCTAACACTGATCGGTTCATGATTTAAATGATACTGGTAAATATTTATGAGTATTTTCTTGTAATTTTTAGCGGTACTGCTTCTCAAATGATCTTTGTCAGTCAGTCAGTCAGTTACAACGTAGGACTTGGTAC